GACTTTGAATCATCATTATTAAACAGTATTAATATTATAAACATAATTCTGACCAGAATTATGGAATTATCTTCAATAAAATTCATGTTTATAAGAAACTCTAGAAAATCATACAAACTCAAATTCTTGAAAAGCAAGAATTAAGAATATAGTTTAATAATTTTTTGTTTGTCGTCAGCTTATATTTTTACAAATCCTTGATCCATCCTATAAATAATATACAATCTATTAATTTGGAATTTTATAAACTTATACTATTAATTGTAAATTGATTAAATATATTATATAAAATTAATTAAGAGTTTGATCTAATTGTATTTGTATTATTTAAATTAATAAATTAATGAATTAATTATTAAATTAACAATTTTATTTTTGTACATTATTTATTATTATAATTAGAGATATGAATTGTAAATTAAAACTGTTTAGTTAACAGGTGGTAAATAAATAATAGTTTTGATCTTTAATTTTATTAAATTTGAATATTAGAATTAAGATAACAACAAAAGAAAAACTAGATTTCAAACATATAAGTAGATAATTGAAGTCAACTTTTCAGTTAAACTCAAGATAAATTTTGGGATCAGTTGGAATGAACTTAAATTTAATACTACAATTAAAGATTATAATAACGAAAAATATAAACAAGCCTTGGAAAGCTTTTATGATTTTGTTACCACACCCTGTAGTGAATCTAAAAACCCCAGTGATATTAAAATCATTGGCCTGGCTACATATTATATATTGCTTTGTTATATATACAGGAATAGTGTAGAACAAGATATAAAACAAGCTATAGATGTCATGAAATATCTTTATAAATATAAAAAGTATAAGGATGCTTGGAATATTTATTTAGAATTAGCCAAGACAGATAATATTAAATTAGATGCATTAAAATGAATGGCAAATTATTATAACAATGAATATATCAAAAAGGATGAAAGACTTATCTTTGAAATTGTATTAGAATTATACAGTAAAAAACAATATAAAGATATATATAATATTTTTTTAAAACTTACCAACAGGAATAACAGTGAAATTAAATTAATTACTACATGTATTAAAGTATCTTATTATATTACAAGGTATAATGATGATGTTAAAAAAAATAAGAACAAGGCTATTGAACTTATAGAAAAGATATAACACAAAGTTGAACATTGTATCTCAAGGTGTATCTAATTGCAAAAGAGCTATAGGAAAGTAACAATTTATTTTAAAAATTTCTATATAAATAATTCTTGAAGGTGGTACAAATATACATACAGAAAATGTAATTTTCATTGCTCTCCATTTGTAATTATTCAAAAGCTGTTTTACATGATTTATAGTGATTGAGCAGTTAATTACATTATTGCGTTTGTGTTGTTTTCTTATAAATATGTGATATTCATATTAGAAAAAACTATGCTAAATTAAATGTAAAGTGTCTTATTAAAGTATTTCTAAATAAACAAAGTTTATATCTTAACAATTATGAACATCAATTTTTGTAATTCATCAAGTATCAGACAAATTTTTGAATGTTAAAAGAAATAGACATTGTAAGAGATCACAAAGTTTTGTAGTTTGTTAAATTAACATTTATTAAGAAAGTATCTTAACTCAAAATGCTTTTACTTAATCCAAATCTAAATTAAATATGATTTCACCTTTTTAAAACTTTAAAGCAGTTTAAGAAAAATTTTTAATAATTTTTAATTCTATCACTAAGTTTAAGATATTTTCTTTTTTTTATTTAATCTATAAACTTTTATTATTTTTTAATTAATAATAAAGAATTCTTATTAAGTAATCTTTTAAAATTTCTAAAGTAAAATTGCAGAGGTATTTTTGATTCTAGCAGTGGTCTAGTCATTAAAATTGATCTAGTAGATATAGTTGTCCATAAGATTACAAGATCACAGTGTTATCTCTATATCCTTGTCTTTTATTTATAATTAAATCATAAATATTAAAATATTTGTTGAGCTCAACACGATTAGTTGAGCTTAGCCAAACTGGAATTAATTCCTCGTTTAATTGTATTAACTACTTAGTGGTTAGTAGGTGTTTAATCTATAATTGTATCATTATTTACTATAGTAAATTCAGGTTTAATCATTAATATAAGAT